ACAGCTTCTCACGGTCAGAAATGTTTGTTTATGTTTGACGTCATCACCGCATTGCAACGCTTGGATGTTGGAAATGTCAGAGTTGTCTGGAACGTAGCTATACTTCCAGGGAGTCATGACATCGTGTCACGTGACACGCCCCCCCAACAAAAAAAGCAGCAAGGTGAGAGAGGCCAATATTTCCAATAGGCCAATTATTGGATGGAATGTTACACAATCAATGTTTTGGTTTGTAGAAAATGTTTGAATTGATGAACCACAAACAGACTGAATGTTGAGTTCTGGTTTTTCACAGACATGAGGTCGCATCCGGTTAATCACAAAACCAGCGATGAATAGTCGCAGCTAATCAGAATGCAAATTTTCAGAGTGATAGAAAAAGACGAGCAGGGAGGAGTCACAGAGAGAGACACGGGGAACAGAGGACAAACGAGGGCGAGAGAAAAGTAAGGATGAAAACAGAAGAAGAGAGGACAGGAAGGAGGGAAGGGTGATGGGGAGGATAAATGAATGGCCCGGCAGTAAAAAGAGAAGATGCATAAAAGGAAGGAGAGAGAGAAATATGAGGGAGTGAGGGGAGAGGATCAATGGATGAATGGGAAGGAGAGGTAGAAGGAGAGAGGGAGAGTAAATATTAAAATGAGTGATGTGCACTCTGCAGTCAGAAGTGCAGCTGGCAGCAGAGCGACGTCGCCGAGCCAGCGAAACACACTGACTGATGCTGGCGCTGATACAACACAACAGGAAGACAGTGACGGACACACACAGACGGTTCTTTCTTTTTCCGTCCTTTATTAAAACATGTCGACCGAATGCAGCTCACACCTCCGTCTCTCCGAAAAACATTTGTGCTTATTTACGACTTAATGGGTTTTTGTAGGAACTGGATTAGCTTCCTGGAGTAACATTTTTTCACAGCGCAGGAAGTGACACGGTGAATAACTCTGACCAGAGGAGGGAAGACTTTGCCAATTTTTTTTTAATAAACGTCAGGTGTGCGTCAGAGAGCCACTGGTGTTCTTGAGGATAAAAAGGGTTGAAATGTTCATATTTTCCTCTAACGTATAAAAACGTTGAATAACGTAAGGTCTTCTACGGATTAAAAACTGAAGATTGTTGTTGTCTCATTAACGAGCCGTGAAAATAAGAAAGTTTTTATCAAACCTGGCTGAAAATCCACTTCACTCCTTATGTAACGTGTGTTAAGCACCTGAAGTGAAAGGAAAAAGGTGTTCGATCTCATCACACCATCATGAAGACACACTCAGGTTTGTGGGATGTGTCGGTGGTGTGGGAGTGACAGATTCTGGCGAGAAATAAAAGTAGCTTTGGCGTGAGGACACTGAATGGCTGCCATCTTCATCTCCTCCGAGGAGACAGAGGAGGAAAGACATGTTGAGCGATAAAAGATAAGAGAGAAGGACAGAAGAAGGAAAAAAAACAGAAAAGAAATAAAATTTTGCTTTTTTAGAGCGTCTAAACAAAACCTTCATCTTTCTGATATTTGCATAATATCGACAAGCAAAGAAACAGGATGAGTTGTGACAGACATTGTTAAATTAAAATGTTTTGTATACATGCTGCATCAGTTAAAAAGTGTTGTTAGTGGCTTGAGTAATGGATGAAGTTCACATTAAAAACTACAGTTTAGAGCAGATTGTAAAATGTATTGATCGGTTTAAAACTGTCAACGTCAGCAAATCTGCAACGCATGTTCCAAAATGTACCCCCCCACCAACATGTTTCCATATCTACCATCAGTCAGGTCACACCCCCCTCACCTCCTCCAAATATGGTTACCTCTGGTTTGAAATAAACAAAAGGTGGCGCTGGACAAAACGACGGCTCACAAACGTCCCGGTGGGTTGATACTTAGCGAGACCACGTGTACGGTATGAAATCCTGTCTGTTGTCTCCGTCACAAAGTTGAGACTGTGACAGTGGATGAGATGTTTTCACAGGCGACAGCGAACTTTATCAAACATGACTGATGTCAAACTCTCGTCGTGCACCAGCGCAGTCACAACAGATTAAACATGTCTCATCTGAGTAGAGCTGCAGTGGACCTACAGCCCATTAATTCACTACAAGCAAACAAGGTGTCTTCACTTTATTCACAGTGAAGGTTAAAATGTTCTGAAGAGGGAGGAGACTGAAGGTCTGAACCAAACAAGGACCTTAAGATGTAAAATGATGAGCAGAGCACACGTCAACCAAAAATTCTAAATGGTTTTCAACTTCTGCTCCTAAAACAGAATGATTGCGGGCAGATGGATTGACGCACACACTACATGTCCCCATATTGGATTATAATTATTAGATCATAATAATATTTGGGTCATTCACTGTCATTGGAAAGACGAGACCTCCAACATGCTTCCATGCTCTGCAGGTCAGCACTGAGGACCCCCCCCCCCCCCCCCCCTTAACCCTGCCTTTGCCTATTTTTGCCTCATGTTTTCCAAACCACAGGCTTTCTCATCTTACTGTGACCTTTTGCAAAGTCAGGGCCGAAAACACTCCTCAGTGTTCAGTAACGGAGCAGCAGGGAGGTTAAAAAGACAGAGTTTGACCTGAACGGGGTCTGGTTTGACTTACAAGACAAAATAAAGATGGAATAAACAGGGGGAAGGAAATCCAATAAGATGCTGATTCTTACACAAAAAAAAAAAAAATTAAATCACATGGTTTCCAAAAGTGGAGCCTAAGCATCCAGACCTGGTAGCTGGCTGCTGTGTGGGTCATAAACCCAGCCTCATCCCTTATCAATACAAAAACAAATGTTACACGTAAAATAATTATTTCTCAAACTTGTCGAGGCCAAAAAAGAGGAAATCAAAGGAGTTGAAAGGAGATAAACGTCCAAAACATGAAAGTTACTGCTCTCGTGACTGCAACAGGTTGATTTTGATGGAAACATGAGCAGAGATTGTTTCAGGCTTTAGATACGATGCCGTTGTTTTGATTTATCTAATTTTGATCATATTTCAAATTCACACAAGGTTCTCACTGTGTTCTGTCGTTTTCTGTTGTTCAACTCATTTCCCTCCTGAGGATCTCATCTTATCACATTTCATCCCATTTCTAATTAGCTAATATGTCCTCAATAAATCCAGTGTTATTTGATAGATTTTTATCATTTTTGGCAACACGTGGCGTCTCTGACTTGTGCCAATAATGAACTCAGTGAACCGAGCCAGTGCCAGCGACAGAGGGACGGCAGATACAGGTGATGCTGCAGCCGAGGCTGAAAACATGTTCTCAATCACAATTAGAGGGGAATAATGGCAGAGAACAGATGAGCTGCAGCAGCGATTGGTCCTGTGGCAATAAATTTCCCATTTGGGTGTGATCACCTATAGTCAACATTACCTTAAGAGCCTGGGAGAGACAGACAGACACCAGAGGGTAATAAAATCTGTCCAACCCATCTGCCAACTCTCCATCCATGGATCCACTGCATGACGAGGTAGGCGTGTTTTTTAAACCGTCATGTTGGATAAAAATCTGCTTCACACCCCGAGGCTTCTCTGACACACCTGGTCTGATCTATACTGGCTCAGCAGCTGTCTGCCTGAACACAAGTCTGTCTGCGTGTCTGTCCCTCAAAAACAACCCCACCGACGCTGTGACCAATCTCAGGACTCAACTGGCTCGAGGACACGTGATGGGAACATTTTGAGCAGTAAAGAGAGTCAACTCAGGTAAAGTTTGGAGCGACTGATCTCAACCCCTAGACATTGTGAGTGGAACCCACTTTCCTTCCACTGATTACGTCTCTGAAACAGCAGTGAAATCAGCCGCTGTAGCTTTTGATTGCAAGAAAAGTGTCTCGTGTGACTTACAACTCAAAGATACCACACAAAGAGCTTATTCCCAGAATAAAAAATATACACGTGGCAGCTGTAAGGTGACTGGTTTTATATGGTGATGCCACCAAAATGAAAATCAGATGATTATCTGAACGTAAATCTAAAACCTTTTCAAACGAAGATGATTCAGTGAATAAATATGCATGAAAGTCAGAAACCTGTTTTAAACTTTCTCATCCAACAGCTATGAGATTATTAAATCGACAATTTAAACTTGTGTCATGAAGAAAAACAGTTTCTGAACCTAAGCAGTGTTTGTTAAGCCTCTGAGCGGATTGTGTGACTGACGTAGGATCGATGAAGACACACACATATTGATTTTCTTAACTGTTCGAATCACTTTTGGACTAAAAGCTCTAACACCATCTGGACATGAATCATTCTCGTGCAATGAATCTGGTCCACGCTCCTGGACTGGAAACCGAACCCCATCATTGGATTGTGGTGTGTTCATTAAAATCCACATCATGACCCTGTGGCTAGTTTCCATTTGTGACCACATAAAAACGACATGTGACCATTTCATATTAACAACCTTGGTCTTTTTCAACAAACCAGCTCTGATAAACCCACAGGTTCCCTCCCACATACGACAAGTATTCAGTCGTGTGGTGAAACGAGAGGCGGTATTGTGCTTATTTAAGGTTTCAAGGGTAAAAGACAAAGACACTGGAGGTTGACTTACAGTTTGAGCTTTTCTCATGCAAGGACGAGCATTAAATTCTCCTGGCTGCATCATCAGCACCAGAGACGTAATGATACATTAGAAAATGTCTGTTTTTTGGCTTCTGTTAAAACACAGGTGGAGAAATCGACTCCTTGAGAATTTCAGAAAGAACTGCCCAAGCACCAGGTTTCTAATATTGCTTTCAAATGGGAAATGATATGCAAAGAGACAAAGGATGAAATTGAGAAATAGTTCTCCTTGGTTTTAAGGGTGTTAGTGTGTGTGATACCCGACCTGAGACATTTTCGAACAAAGCGTTTAAACGCTCTTTAGGTTTGGATTAGGTCCCGTTGGCTCGGCTATGTACACTTGATCTTTAACACTGCACATGTCTGTAATCTGTGAAATCATCAATCACATCTCCTGTGATTCCCAGATGTGACAAATGTAACTCTACTCACTCCCATTGTTTCCTCCTGGCCTGTGGTGTGTTGTGCATCTTGTGAGCCTGATGTGCCAGGATGACGTCCCGGTGGTCCACCACTCCTCCCCTCCGGCGGATCGGTGGGACCGCGGGGTCGGTGTGGTGCGCAACCAGGGGCATGGAGCCCCGGCGGGAGTGAAGCCCACTGATGAAGGGCACTTCTCTGTACTGCTCCACCCGGACGTCATACACGGCATGATAGTAGGTGGGGTTGGGGCCCACGCTGCTCCCGCTGATTGGGGGAGGGTGGCAGCGCAGCGGGCGGTGGAGGCCCTGAGACGAGGAGGAGCAGGACGACGTCTGGGGCCACGAGCCGCCATGGTCCTGATAAAGGGGGGACAGCATGGAGCTGGAGGTGGAGAGAAGAAGAACAGGGATGGGGAGGAAGTGTTTAGAACCAATGGAAGATCAACAGAACAGTTTGTCAAGACACCAAAGAGGTAAAAGGTTTGAGGGTCTGAGATTTTTGACTCGTTAAATAAATACAGAACATTTATCATTTGAAAGAACCGAAATGAAAACTTACAAATGAGCAGAGTGAGGCTTGTAAAGAGTTTTAGTGAAAAGGGAGTTTTAGGTGAACAGAGGAAAAAGAAGAGAAGTAGAATTCCTTCAATCTTGTGTTGAGTCAGCATCAAAATAACAATAATACCGTTGATAACAAAAAGCACTGTGCGATAAAACAAGCTGCTTCCAGAGACACTTTTATAAACTCTACTTTCTATTCCCCACAGTTTCTGAGACTAGATTCATTTCCTTTGTGATAGACTGTTGGGAAACTGCTTTTATTCCTAAACACGAAACTCCTGCTGCTCAACTGCCGTGTTTATGTTGTTTGAGTCACCGGAGAATCTGTCGTGTGAGCAGAACCGAGGGTGTTCGGTGGAGATATTTGCTCGTTTGTCATTGAAAAGGAGAAGATGGATGAGCCCGTCTTCAGCTCTCTTCATGTTGTTTTCAACCTCCACAAGAATAAATCCTGGTTACCTGGTCTTGAAACCTGGAGGATTTTATGTTGAGTCTTGTGCCATTTTCACTTTGAGAAAAAGATCTTATTCACAAATATTCTTGATTGTGGGTAAAACAGTGACATAGGAGTTGAGAACTTCTAGTTCATGATACGATGGTGAGAGGAGGATGGTCTTTCAGTTTGAGAAGAAACCTTTTTGTTAATAACTAAACATAAACATTAATGTTCTCTGAATTATTTATTTTATATTTATAAAACAAACACAGATGCTGATATGTCAGCAAAAGACGATTTTTAACAGCCAAACGATAATTCGGTCGGGTCTGGAGAAGAAGTCTGGAAAAAGTCCCATTTTTTGCCCTCAAAGAAGAGGTGAAGAATAATATGAATCCAAACAGCGAGGAGGTGGATTAATAAACCAGGCACACAATAAAAGTGCAGCAACACAAACATAGCATTAAGATTTTTACCATGCAAGTGCTAAAGAAAAGCTCTGAGTGTGTGTGTGTGTGTGTGTGCGTATTGGAAACAGCACTTTTCCTCACCAGTTATCTGCTGAGGGTGCATTACGCGTTATTTCTCCCTGACATGGTGTAAAGTGAAAACTAATTCACAGAGACAGGCGCACACACACAGATTTACGCTCACACGCTGCAGGTACAATGATGAGACATGCAGTAGTGCTATCGTAAGGACTTTGTTGGGTGATTGAGGGTGTGTGAGTGTGAGTGAGTGTGTGTGTGTGTGCGCCGCAGGACTTGAATAACACAGGTCAGCGCAGAACACACAAACTCAGGACAATGCGCATAACAGAGCAAGGGCGAACTCCAGAACTAACAAGGACGCTGAGGACTCAGAGAGGTGGGGAGATTATGAGGGGGGAGATGGAGAGGCTGATGGACAGATAAACAGGAGAGAGGAGGGTGGATAAGGGAACAGAATGGGGGAGAAAGAGTGTGACACTAAGGGGAAAACAGGAAACAAGCATTCACCCCCGAAGGCAAACTGGTATGATGGAGAGCAGACGTTAAGAAACCGTACAGAGGCTGCAGGATGAGAGGGGGAGAGATTAGGGGACAGGACTGATGAGAGGGGGATGACTAATTGCTGGACGTGAAAGAGCAGAGCTCTGCAGATGAAGCAAAATCCTTTCTCGTTTTTCACTCATCGTGTTTTTGCCCCTCAGGGATTGATGGGAGAAAAGACGAGGAGGTTTCTCCACCTCTATTTTAACAGGCAACTACAACCACTCTGCATAGATTTACAGAGCAGCAGTGAGAGCAGAAACCAAATCCTCACTGCTGCACCTGCAACTATCTCCTGTTTCATAGCTTAATTGAGACTTTAGCTGCCTTCAGCCGTGAACTGAAGTCCGCATCTTCTCCTGAAATCATCTGTATGTGAGAACACAAATGTCTGAGTCAGTCGCTCTGGATAATCTCCCGAGTTTTTCCTGCCAACCCCCCGATAAAAACTCTATGGAGTTTGAATCCATGTGTGAATACAGCAGGATAATGTCCAGAAAATAGTTGGCAAACATTTAAAGATATTTTGGAGGATCAAGAGAGGATTTTTTAAACCACTTGCATCCAAAGTGCATAAACATATTGTCAACATACAAAATAAAAACATCACAACATCTACAATGGAACGCTTCCTCAGGTTTTTATGGCCGATACAAATACTAGAGAGTATAAAACATTTCTAGTATTGATACATTGGCCAGTTTTCATTTTAAAATGGCAACAATAATAAAAGATGTCGTTATGATACCTTTTTTAACAAAAACTGTAATTGAGGTTAAATATTTTACAGTTTAATCATAAACCTCTATAATACTATCTAAAATAAATAAAACCCATAGAAAACTAAATGTATAGAGACTGAATTAAGAAGATAAACTTATGTTACCCTCCATACGTTGCTTTCGTCAAATGAGCGTCCTCTGGCTCTTCCGTCTGTACAGCCACGACAATCCAGACTTTTCTCCTTCGTAGTTCCACGTTGGTGGAACGAGCTGCCAAACACCACCAGAGCAGGGGCGTCCCTCTCTGTCTTCAAGAAGCTATTGAAGATCGAACTCTTCAGAGAACACCTTCTCCCCTAGCTAGCACTTACCTAGCACCACTCTTCCTCTCTCTACCACTCTTCTGCTTTCTAGCACTACTGGTCTCTCCTTTCCTTTCTCCTACCGCCATCTCCTGCAAATCATAACTTAATATCTGCCCTTAAAACGTAAGGTGGTATGTATTGCTACACTAAGATCTTTGTTGCTATGTAGCTTGAATGTTACGTCTCCCTTGTAAGTGGCTTTGGATAAAAGCGTCTGCTAAACAACTCCATTTTGCAGGCAAACACCGTGCCTGGTCTCCTGGTGTTCTGACCATCTGACTGCTGCCGACCTCGTTCTGCCCGTCAACCCCACCAACCCGTTCAAAAACAAAACTCTGACCCCTCAGGTCACAGCTCTCCTGCATCCATCAGGTGAATACTAAAGAGCCACAGAGTCTCATCACAGCACCGATGAGGCTTCTTCCAAACAACACTGCCTTTCCCCTCATGTTTTAAAAAGAAGAATAGAAGTTGTGTGCAGCCTGAAGGTCAAATATGAATCAGAAGTGTCGTCTTTGTTACTTGAGGAAAGAACCTTAGTCCAACAAAACAAAAGACAAATATCATGAAAACAAAACGGTTCTGGACTCACAGAATCTCACAGTCTGAGGTTATGTAAATCAGGACCATAGAATCACCGCCCTGTGACCTCAGTCATCCAGCAAGACATATCAGGTCACTGTGACCTTTGACCTGTGACCACTGAAATCTAATGAGGTCCACTTTGAGTCTGAGATATCACGTTGAAGGTCAAATCATGTTGTGAGACCACCGTGACCTTTGATCACCAAAATATAATCAGTTCATCCATGAGTCAAACTGAATGTTTGAACAAAATATAAATGAATTCCCTTCTTAAGATATCTTGATGGGAGAGACGGACGACTAACCTCTGTACTAACATCTGGACGAAGAAGCTGAAAACACAATCCGTGGCTATCGCTGACATGCAGGAATAAAATCATCTTTATACTAAATAAAACAAGAGGAAATATACAACTTACGTTTATCAAGCGCCATATGAGTGTTTTTTAAATCTTAAAAACTTCAGATGTTTATAATACAAACTTGCATTAAAACCTATGTTCATATACAATATAAAGACTTCATTGGGAGGTGTGTGTGTGTGTTTGTGAGTGTGTTCACTTGTATTATTTGTGAATTAAAATGTATGTCTCATGTCAGTAGAAACGTCCCGGGTGGATCAGAGAGAAGTAAATGTACTCAGCTAAATGAAGTGTGAGAACGTTTCTCTCAGACCACTGAGCTGTGAAAAGAGCAGCGACCGTTTATAGAGCGCACACTCAACCTGCTCGCTGCACCGCTACCGACCAACTGCCCGCCATTACCAGGAAATGTGATGAAATGGTGCATCATTAGCAGGAAGCTCCCAGGATATAAGTTCCAGCTTTGTTCCGATTCAGAGGCCGAAACATGTGACGTCCACATTTTTAGAGCTGGTGCGTCATTACTAAGTGTAAGAAGATCCCCCCCCACCACCACTGTGCTGAGGAAAACAAAACAAAAGCTGTTTGCAATTCACAAATGGAGATCAAGTGATTTGGCATGGGGGAGTTTAATTAAACTGTAAACTGTCTCAGTGAGTCACCACGCTCGCTGTAGACGTGAATAAATCCACTGGCAACATGCAGGGAATCCATTATTCTGGAAGATTCTAACTACGGCAGAGGAGAACGAGATTTGAATTACCGACACAGGAAGAGATGTGGTGGTGCCATGACTCTTTTTGAAACGGACACACAAACACAGGTACACGGTTCCTCACCACAGCCTCACTCTGCTGAACCCAGCGTTTCACAGCGAGAGTATTTACTGAGGACACAACACACTGACTCACTCGTGCTTTCATCTCAATGACAACGTGAAAGCCAGAACACAGGATGTTGTCCACTCCACAGCCAACTACGTTTGATTGACATCATGAGCAGGAAGAGCTGCCCGGATCACACAGAGACAGACAAAGACTTTTAATGATGTAGGAAGGAATGTCAGTTTGTACAAGCCCACACAGTGCAGAGTCAAACTACACAACAGTGATACACACCTGTGAAGGTGGGAGGATCATGGGTGTGAGATAAAGTACAGTGAGCTGCATGGGGGACGCTGAGAGCAAAGACGTCCTGAGCCGACAATCACAACACAAAGTGTGGAAGTGTTTTAGGTTCTACACTGTAGACGGCAAAGTAACAAACAAAGGTTGTCGACCTCTTACTCCTCAACGACCACAACCATGAAGCCTCACGTGTTAGATTCCCAACAAACAAGGACAGTGTACGAAACATAGCAGAGCAGCACCACAAGGAGCCGACAGGCCTGTTCACTGAATTCCACTTTTTAAAACCCTGAGATCGAGACAAAAAACATATCAACATGTCGACTGGAGGTTCTTCTATTGGGCAAACAAAGTTTTAACAAAAAACTAAACTGATAATTTAACACACACACAAACACACTTATCTCAGGGTTATATTTCTTACTTATACAAACACACGTTAGAGCTTTAGTTTACCTTTGCTTCTCCTCATGTCTCTGGTCCACAGGCAAAAGAGGTTTCAGGATATTTTAAGTAAATTTATACTTCCTGGTTCGAACCATGTTTGACTGGAGGGGGGAAGCTTAATGTGTCTGTTAATTACAAAAGGTGTTTCCATGACACTGATGCAAATATGGATGTTTCATTTGTTCAAGCAACAAAATTCTATAAAACTTCAAAAAGACTCTTACCCATATTTTCTGTTAATGAGCAGGTTTACTCTTTACATTAGTGAACTCCCCCGTCTGTGGTTCAGTCCTATCCAGGTAGGTACAGCTGAGGTATATAAAGAGGTGGCTGTGTTGCTGCTGGGATGTGAATGAATGAGACCAAACATCTGTACTCAGTGTAAATATATGTTTTCTGAAACACCGACAGTTCTCAACAGGTAAAAGACTTTCAGCTCCATATGAAACTATCATGTTGTTTTCTACTGGTGAGGTAAATGTGCTATATAACAACTAAGCCATGCAGAACAACGTGTAGTGCATTCGGAGAGTGTGCAACTACCAGTGTGATGAGAAACTACCTAAAATTACATATTTAACATGTACTTTGACTTTTTACTTTGGCCCATGTCCCGTCTGCTAACACGGACAGGGCGGGTTATATGGCCTAGTTGATGCTAAGCATTAAAACTAGCCTCTGAGCTCTGGTATCCTTTTAAGCCATCATTACACCAACGTGACGCTTAAACGCCTTCTATCAATTCATCAGATGTGAACTGGCCGCTCCCGATCCACTAACTACACTTTCTATTCAATCTGCCTGTTTTGTTTTTATCTCCAGACACTGAGGACTTTTCATCTTTGGCAACTTCTGCTTATTGTTGGTTTACATCCTTTGACAGCAGCACTGTTTCGTCTCATGCCAATAAGGCTCTCTTCAGTCGAGTAAAGCTGACAGAGGGACGGACCGGAGGGATGGGATGGAGGGATGGGATGGAGGGATGGAGTAACGAGACGGAGAGGGTCAGGGGAGTGATGACCCAGAAGCAACAGGCAAGGGTGTAGGTGTGAGATTTGGTAAACAAGAATATACATCTGTCAGAACAACTCTAATCCTGTTTGCTTCTCCGAGGAAAAGCTGCAGCTTTGTGGAGGCTGAGGAACAGGAAACCAGTTTCCAGATTTGATAACATGTAGATGCAGCGATGTTACACCGATGTCAGCGATGGGCCAACACAGGCCAAAATAGTGAAGAAACTCAGAGAAGAGGGATATTTTTGGCTGAGAGGTACAGTAGTAGTACTTTTTGAGAGATCTGTACCGGCAGTATGGATTTTACATAACTCGCTCATCCAGCAGCAGATTTGACACTCGCTGCTGAACGAGTTCAACAATAGCCTGGGAAGAAAAACCTCAGCACCCATCACGATGTTGACTCCGTTAAGAAGAGTGGAGGGATCTGAGAGTTTTTCTACAACAGCAGTGGGAGAAGTGTTTTCTTCTTTGCTGTAGCTTCAGGGTGGTGTCGAGCGTCAGTTCAGTTTGACACCACCCGGTTGTTCTTTCATCTAAAATATTGAATTTGTTCAAGACCAGTATATTTATATCCACACAAGCATTTTTCCACTCTCTCTCTCTCTATACATATATATATATATACACACACACATATATATATAAAGCTTTCTAGCAATTTAACAAAGAAGCAATACCCTGTGTTTTCCCAGATCTACATTGTGTGAGATTAAATTTCCTCATTGGGACTAAAGAAAGACAAAGCGTATGTTGTCATGCTGCACACTAGAGGATAATCGTGTGGAGCTCTGGTCCGACTATCATGGGGGCGTTGGAGATTTGAGCCTGACCTGAACAGATTAACAGACCAAACAGTCCAGCACTGCTCACTAATGTCAGCAACTTAATTTGAGCCTTCAAATCAAACATGTTTGATGGTTACGATTACAAATCAAAGTCGTGTAAGAGGAACAGCGATTGGAAAAGTGAGCAAAAACCTGGAATAGCCAATGAGAGCGAGCGACTGGGAAGCATCAGCAATCAGACGTTGTGTACGTGGATGTTCGGAATCACATAGTGCAAATAAGCTTTTAAGTATGTCAGTGTAGTGGTATCCGGTATTTCTGCTGCCCCTGGTGGCCAAAAAATTATGTTAATTGGTTAATTACGTCAGGGAAGTTATTATAGATAGATTTAATTATTTTGGTTATGAATAAAGTTCTTCCTTAAGCGTACCAAGTTTTACTACAGTCCACTTTTTCTGTTTTCATTTTATTACTAATGATTACACATATCCTGAAGTTCTTTACTTGCATTCATGCAGTATTTGATACAGATTACCAGCTTCCCTTTATTTACATTTGACACGTCAACATTTAGCATCACCAGCAACTCGAATAGATTTAATTTGAATAAGCTTATTTGTGCTCGATCTATGGTGAGAGCAGAGGTCTGGGTCTCTTTGGACTGACTCTCCTCTGGATCCTTTATCTACAGTGACTGAACGGACGCACAGTTATTATTATTATTACATTGAGATGAAAATGCTCCGGGCCCTGTGAGGCTCTGTGCTTCAGTCTGAGCCTCGTCCTTCACTCAGACGTCCTGTCATCTGATGTGGCATGAAGTTCTGACTGGATTTGGACGCCTGATGCTGGAATAGAGTCATTTAAACAGCGGACTTCATGGCTTGGAAAAACCCAAATTCATTTTAATGTACCTGATTTGAAGGTGTTTAAATTAGAAATGGCCCCACAGCACAAGTATGGATGAAACTCACCTCATCGAATCTCTTTCTGGTTTATTACAGTTATTTTGAGGCCCTTAAAGTAACAGTAGAGGATTTTCTAACTCCGACTGCATCAGCTGTTGTATGTGAATAAACAGGTCCAAGGATCACTGTGGGTGATGAGAGGAATCTACCTCACCTCCTCATTTCATCTGTTCCCATATGGATGATGTCTCCATCTATTTACAGAAAAAGGTCAAAAAGATCCTTAATGCACAAAAATTAGGATTCAAGCTCAGTCAGTGCAGAGCTGCTCCAGGTGTCTGTTCTGTGATTGTTACAAATATAGAGAATCTACATATCTCATAAATAATGATGAAGCAGCTGATCTGATGTGTGGAAGTTAAAGGTCCGAACTGTAAAGTAAAAATAAATGAATGTAAATGAAGATGTGTTAAGTTGATTCTTATCATTTTCAGTCATTTAAAAATATAAGTAACATTGAACGGGAACATTGACCCAGTGATAAAGGATCAAATCTTAAACTTCAATGAATAAATCATTTTATTTATTAGGTTTACTTTATATTCCGTTTGTGTACTTTTAGTTTGTCACAAGAGGAGGATGAATTGAATTTTAATTTTAATCTCCAGCTGTTCCCTCGGGTCTGTGCGTCCTTACCTGCCTGTCAGGTGAACCGCTGACCGGCGGCAGCTGAGCCTGCGGGCTCCGGGGTCTCCACAGCCGCCCCCCGGTTCTCCGGTGGCCCCGACCCGCTCACCTGTCGGCCGGCGGCGGCTGGAAACCAGTCAGCGGTGCTGGGAGGACCGGGCGCACGGCGAAGAGTCGGTAACGTGTCCGGCACCGGAGGGAAGGAGAACTCCATGTTCACCTCCAGAACATCCCGAATAAAGTGACGTCCGCCGGTTAACGAGCGATGACGTGACGTCAAACCGACGGTTCGTGATGATCCAGAGACTTTTTTTGTCTCCCGGTGTAAACCTGAGATGTTTACTAGAGGACGTTCAGCTCCGGATCTGTGCGTAAAGATCTGCTCATCCACTGCACTGATCCTCCCCCTCTCTCTCTTTGTCTCTCTCTCTCTCTCTCTTGTATTGCCAAATCCCATAAATGATGGTTATAGCTGGATCCTGACTGAGAAGGATTTTTGGAGGACCAGTGCTGATTGACTACAAATGATCCTGCATCAATATATCAGCCGATATGTGTATCAATAAAAAAACATAATGATCCCTAATTTGTTGTTATCGAACCCTTATGACGAAGAAAGGTAATTAACACTATACATAAAAATAAAAACCAAAAAAACAGTATCAAGAAAATAAAACTGCATCTTTTCAGCAATGTTTATTTTATTTTAATTTTCTAATCATTCTGAGAAAGACTATGACAGTTATGATGTGCACATGAGTTGCTAATATTCTTTTTTCTGTTACAGAGCAAAGTCGGATTATGACTCACGTACATCCATCACCTTTTTTATGGCCTCTCTGCTGGTGATCTTTACTTTATTAAATCATATCACCTCAGCCTCTTTTGGTCATGGTATACCTGGATCTTATATATACATATACTGTATATATAATTCCCTTAAAACAGTGAGAATAATTTCAGCTTCTCCCTTAGTCCTCTTTACCCAGCCAGTAACTTACTCACATGTCAACACCTGGAATTGGAAATTGTTTGATTTTATTTCTGATATATTTTAATAAAAATTTGCTTGAAAAGTAGGTTATGTTACTGCTGGTTTAATAGAAGAGAAGAAAATAGTCAATTATATTGGTGGCACCTAATCAAACTCTGCTCCGGGCCCCATACAGGCTGGGGTTAAGGTAAGGGTAAGTTAGTAGGTTAGTGGTAGTATTGACGTGTGATGGTTAGAGTTATTAAGTAAGGTTAGAGTGAGTGTCCAGGGAATGAAAGTAAGTCAATGTAATGTCCTCTGAAATCCCGTGGGTGTGTGTTAGTGTGTGTGTGTGTTAGTGTGTGTGTGTGTGAGCACTCGTGTGTGACGAAAGAGTTTGCCCGACTCAGCATCTTTCCAGGAGCAGCTCTAGTTTTCACATTCACTGTATTAACACCTGACTCCAGAAAATTAAAGGCAGGAGCCTCACATGCACTTTCTCGTTCACACACTTCAGGGATTCACATTTTGCAGAGTTTCTCTACAGTTTAACCTCATTTAGGTGAGCCGTCGTACTGCAGCGAGTCAGCAGGGTTCAGTGAACATGAACAAACACACATGCACTCACGCAGGCTGCGTGTTGGTGATTACACAGCAGCAC